GCACAGACTGGAAGAACCTGAAAATCTCACGTGCCTCTCGTCTCCTGAGGTTGTCCCCTAGAAGAAGGGCCGGTTAAGCGTTCTGGCACTAGACAGTGTCATTCTTTTATCATTAAAAAATTATTCATGCAGTTTTATGAGATAGATGATTACAAATTGCATTTTTCTTCTCTTAAATAATAAATATGCCCTTACAGATGGCAGCTCTGTGGAGCTCATCTCACTTCTCACTGTCCAAGTAAGCTTTTAGAGTAATAAATTGTCTGTGAAAATACTTTGAAATCTTTTCAGGCTACTGGGCAGCCAGCTGGCGAATTACCGTGCCCACGCGCAGCCTGGCCAGGCTCTCCTGGCACCTCGGGGAGGAGAGTTTGTAGCAAGAGGATCAATGGAGACCAGAAACCTTGGGCTCTGCACGTGGAGATTTTGTTTTAGTGGCTGTGAAGGTCTTAGAAGGAGCAGAGATGCTCATTTCAAGGAGCTGCTAGAATCGTGTCTTCCTCATTTTCTGCCTTTCTCTGATTCCTGCTCTAACCATTTTCAACAAGAAAATGTCTTTGTAAAATGGAGTTTTTTATAGGTCTTGATTGTTTAGTGAAATTGTATTTTATTAGTGTGGCCCAAGTCATTTAATGCAGTTCCCAAAGTGTCTCTCTTACAACATAAATTTGTTCATTGGTGGAAGCTAACCCTGATTTTAAATTTTTGAATTAAGGGAAAAAAAAGAACTGAAAGTCCAAAGCATGCTGAATGTTTAGCTTTGGATACCTTTATTAAAAATAAATTTGAGCCCTAGCCAGTTTGTTCAGTGGACAGAGCATCAGCCTGCGGACTGAAGGGTCCCAGGTTCAGTTCTGGTCAAGGGCACATGCCCGGGTTGCGGGCTCAATCCACAGTGGGGGGTGTGCAGAAGGCAGCCGAGCAATGATTCTTTCTCTTCATTGATGTTTCTGTCTCTCTCTCCCTCTCCCTGTCTCTCTGAAATCAATAAAAAATATATTTTAAAAATAAATAAAATAAATTTGAAAACTAGTTCATTATGAGTGTTTTGGGGTTGTTAGTGTCAAAGCGACTCCTGCTGGGGACAGCACTGTGACCGCTGTCACGCGTGTAAAGAGCAGCTCAGGGAACTGGGGGCCAGTGTGTGGAGTTCCCCGCACAGTGAACACCGCGCCTCCTCTTTCCTTGTTTGAGGTGTTGTCTAAGCCGGTGGTCAGAGGGCTGCAGCGACAGCAGGAAAGGGCTCCCTGGGCCCTGCATGTGTTAGACGCTGGACAGACGTCCCTGGGGAAGCCCAGCCCCGCGAGGAGATACACAGAGTAGAGGGAGGTGCCCCAGGGATCTGGCCGTGGGGAGTTGAAGCCTGGAGGAGGGAGGAGCCTATTTAGTCTGGAGGCAGATAGGATCTGGAGCCTGAGAAGCACCAGGTGAGGAACTGCCAGGCTGCAAGCAGAGAGAGCAGGACGGAGACTCGAGGACCTGCGTCTTTCAGAAAATGCACCCGGTCTGCACAGCTGGAGCTTCGGCGTGTGTGGGAAATGCCAGGGAGGCTCCTTCATTGAGCACCTGAGTGTTTCACAGGCGCCTGTAGGGCAGGTCACACCACAGAGGGGACGCTGAGGCTGGAGGAGTTGGGGGGCTGGGCTCCAGATCACGCTCAGGGTGCAGTGCTTCTGCCTCTTGAGCGAGTTCCCATCACTGTTACGCGACTCCTTGGACCATGTCCTTGTAAGCGGTAGGAGAAAGTGGATCTTTCAGTGAGGGAAAGATACGCATTTAGCTTTATTCTTTCAGAACTTTCTTTGTTAGTCATTACACACGGACAGA